ATAAATTAGTAATTAGCTATCGTGAGTTTTAATAAATTAGATTATAGACAATAAATTAGAATAAAGACAAATAAATTCGAACTATATAAATATTCTACATCAGTGACCTCCGTGTGTCAAGTTGTCAAGTGTTCAGTAAGACGACGAAAAGAAGTGATTCAAGGTTTAACCGTGGTACTGAAAAGTTCGGGCTAGTTTTAAAACGGCATTTTGTTTTTTGCTGTTGTTCCATGTGGGATCTGGACTAGTACGAACCGTGTGGATATTCAAGGGGATTTGCAGTCTTGGAAGGGTTTTTTGGGAATATCCACAATTTCGCTAAAAAACGCGGATCTACAGTGCACGTGTCTACCGGAGTTGCATTTAGATCAAAATAAGCCTTAATCACGAGTCCTAATAGCCGACTACGTTTCGGTCCAATTTGGTATATATCAAATCCCTAATCTGGCTAAGAAGGGTGAGTCTTAGAACATTTCGTTTTAAAGTAATTAAAAAAGTTGTAGTTATTTTTTTATCCCATCTCTAAAAAGCTATTCGTATTTTCATTTAATGAAATGGAATGTATGATTCAAGTTATCATACATTCCAGTTAAAGGACAATTTTTTTTGTATTGTTCCATTATCGCCAAAAAGTGTTAAAGTAAAGTAAACAAAGTGTTAAAATCAATATATGTATATATTTCCAAATAATTATTTTAGACACCACCCTAATAAAATAGTGGGAGGGGTAAATTTTTTTGACATTATAACTCATTGGGGTTAGTTATATAATTGTTAACCAGTCAAAGAAAATTGTTTAAAACTATGTAATTTACTCTTCTTGATCTTGACAGCCGTGATCATCACGGCTATCTTTACTTTGTTTACTGCAGCGCGGAACAGTTCAGTGTTAGTCGTGTTATACCACTTTCGTAAATTTTGAAGCCAGGAAATGCGTCTTTTTCCCGGTCCTCTCTTACCATTTACCTTCCCTTGGAGAATCAGCTGGAAAAGGCCGTAACGTTCTTGATTTCTCATTACATGTCCTAGATATTCCAACTTTTTATTTTGACGTTCATGAGAATTTCACATTCTTTCCCTATTCTACGCAGGACCTCCACATTAGTAACTCTGTCAACCCAGGATATACGTAAGATGCGCCTATAATGCTACATTTCGAAAGCTTCGAGCCGATTCATAGATGCAACAGTCAGTTTCCACGCTTCCATTCCGTGGAGCAGAACTGTGAATATGTAGCAGTTCAATAGACGGCATTTTGTTTTTAATGATATATCTCGACTGTTGAAAATGGTTCTCATTCTAACGAATGCTGCTTTTGCTTTTATTATTCGCTGTTTAATTTCTGTTAAGTGGTCCCATTGGCTATTTAAATTGACTAGAAATGTATTTTGCTCGACTCTTTCGATATTCTGTTGGTTGATTGTAAGTTGAGCGTTTAGTATGGGTTTTTTACTAATTGTCATAATTTTGGTTTTCTTTATGTTAAGAGCTAGTCCGTATCTGTTGCTGACTTCTGTTATGCGATTTGTTAATATCTGTAAGTCATTCAGATTATCGGCAAAAACTATAGTGTTATCTGCATATCTAATGTTATTCAACCATTCACCGTTTATTAGTATTCCTTTCGCACAACCGTCTAAAGCTTCCTTAAATGCCCATTCAGAATAAATATTGAACAACAATGGAGACAAAATACAGCCCTGTCGTACTCCACGTTCTATTGCAATTTTATCAGTTAACTGTTCTTCTATTTTGATTTTGGCCGTTTGATTGTAGTAAATGTTTCTGATAATTCTAAGATCTTTGTTGTCAATTCCAATTTCTTGCATTAGAGTCATTAATTTGTCATGTTTTACTCTGTCAAATGCCTTCTGGTAATCTATAAAGCATACGTATATGTCACAATTCACATCCCTGCATCCCTGCAATAGCATCTGTACAGCAAAAAGGGCCTCCCGTGTCCCCAGAGCATCACGAAATCCTAATTGTGTTCTTGTTAGTTGTTCCTCATATTTTGTATATATTCTTTTGTAAATGACCTGTAGAAATGTTTTAAGTAAATGGCTCATAAGGCTTATAATTCTATAGTCTTCGCACTTTCTCGCATTGGGTTTTTTTGGAAGATTTATAAAAGTTGACACTAACCATTTTTGGGGAATTATGCCTGTATCATATATATTGTTAAATATATTTGACAACCATTTTACGCCATCATAGTCCATAAGCCGTAATTTGCTCACGCCCATAAAAGGGTTAAAAAGCATTATGTACCTCCATAAAATGTGTCGTTATATATGATTATCGTTGTTACAAAGTAGTAAAGTATGTACAATATTCTCACTCCGCTGTATTTCGTCTTGAAACAACCATGAAATTATGACTTAATTTTTCCATGTCCAGTAAGATTCACAGTCAAAGTGTAATATTTAAAAATACTATAGTGTATTTTTATGTATGAGAGAGTAATAAAACAAAAAATTATGTATGCAAACCCTAAACTGTTGATACGGGTGACTCAATGAAAAACAGATATTTGTCAACAAGTTTACAGAAGTATATAGGAAAACAATTTTAAATTGAGTATGACCACCAGGTATAAAGGTTGGAGCAGAATAGAATACAGTAGTTGTGAGGGTTACTAATCCCTAAATGAGGTTGCCAGTGTCGGAGTGATGGAGGTTAACAGGTACTAATGAATTTGCAAGAAATGTAAGATGTTTATTTTGTTGGTTATATATAACCAATAAAAGTTTAATAAGTACCTACCTATTTGCAAAATAAAGTTTAATTCTTTAGATTAAATAAAACGTTTTATTTTATCTGAAATGAGTGCATTCCACGAAGTAAGGGTTTCAACAATCAAACATTTAATTCTTTAATTCCAGGAATCTACGACAGTAATTGACTAGATAATTACCTTCTAAACTTATTCCACAGAAAATGTGATAGTGGGTTTTTCCATTTTGTAGGAAGGTCCAAGTGGCGTATTCAAAATTCTTAACAGTTCACTAAAAGTAGGTACTTCAGTTGCAAGGTGCAGTTTATTGTGTATACTAGTGTTCTGGAAAATTTGGAAGTGCCGTGTGAACGCCGAAAAATTGGTCCTTTAACAGTTAATGAAAAAACATTAATATTTAATTGTTTTAAATCATTTACAAACAAACGTTTATGTGAAAGTGTTGATGAGACCGTTGAGTTAGTTAGCAGTACACTTGGTGTTGGGAAATCTACGATTTACAGAGTTATTAAAGAAGAGAAATGTGGTAGTTTTCAAATGCCACGTAATGCTCCAGGGAAACCAAAATTTCAAATAGAATATCATTTTAAAGAAGGACTTCGACCGACGGAAAGTGCATGAATTCTTCTTTAGACAAGAATTTCCAACATTGAATAAAGTTCTTGTCTCAGTTCGAGATGATAAGGATTACCCAGAAATGAGTCGAAGTACGTTATGGAAACTTTTAAAAGAAATAGGCTTCCGCTGGAAAAAGAATCCCAGAAAGTCTATTTTATTAGAAAGAAGCAATATTGTCATATGGAGAAGACATTTTCTAAGAACCATAAAGGAAATGAGAAACCAAAAAAGAAAAATATTTTATCTTGATAAAACATGGATCAACGAGGGTCATACACCAAATAAATTTTGGCAGGATGAAACTGTTACAAGTCAAAGGCACGCTTTTGTAAATAACTTATCTACTGGTTTAAACCCACCATCAGGAAAGGGACGCAGGCTGATAATAGTACACATTGGCAGTTCAGACGGTTTTGTTGAAGGTGGTTTATTAACTTTTGAATCAACTCGTACCGGTGACTACTATGAAGACATGAACGCTGATGTCTTTCAAGAATGGTTCGAACAAATGATAGATCTTCTTCCTAAGAACTGTGTAATAGTAATGGATAATGCAAGTTATCACTCCAGACTTATAGAAGGACTGCCCACAACCAAGTGGTTAAAAAAAGACTTGCAGAATTGGTTGAGTTCAAAAAATATTACGTACCATCCCGGATCTATAAGAAAGGAACTTTATTCGTTGTGTGCCCTTCATAAAGAAAAATTTAAAAAATACGAAATTGATGAAATTGCCAAAAATCGTGGAATGACAGTACTTAGATCCCCACCATATCATTGTGAATTAAACCCGATTGAACTGGTGTGGGCACAGATAAAGAGTGAAGTTTCAAGAAAAAATTTCACTTTTAAAATTCATGCTGTTAAACAGTTGTTTTTGGAGGCCGTAAATAATGTAAAACCTGAAAACTGGGAACAGGCAGTAAATCACACTATTAAAGAAGAGGAAAAAATGTGGAAGCTGGACAATATTACTGATAAAATGATCGAGCCAGTTATTATAAATCTTGGTTCTGAAAGTTCATCTTCTGAATCTGATTTGGATTGGTAACAAGTAGCTGTAAGTTTTATATTAATGTTTTTATTCATCTATTTAACATACCTTAGACGGTTTTAAAAACTCTTTTTCTCTTTTGTAATTTTTAAAAATTAAAAAAATGTGAATTTTTTAAAACCCTTTTTAATGTAGGCCAGTCAGTTCTAATATAGTGTGTGATAAAAGAGGTCACTTTTGTTTACATACACATAACACTTTATAACACTGAAATAATTCATTTACTTTTTACAATTATTCAAGGTAATTTTTCAATTAATCTTGAGCACGCCCATGGAGTGGTCGGAGATACCAGTTAAAACTATGCTAATTACTCTCTCGTTCATAAAAATAAACTATAATGTTAAGAAAAACCTGCAAATAAGTTGTTGCAAAATATACTATTGGAAATAAATGGACTTAACTATTAATAAAATGAAAACTTTTATAGGTTTTTATCGATATTATTTCCCGTCGATAATTAATCGGTAAATATTTATATTTACAAGAAAATCAAATTTATCTACTTCATTATAGACTGAAATGTAAAGTTGGAGATACACTCATATACAGCGAACTTTTTTAAAGTGATAAGTAAACTTTTATTCTTACCAAGATTCTTGCGCATTCTTCGTGGTCGTAGATAGCGGCAATATGGAGTGCTGATCGACCGTGTTCACCACCCTGCTGTATGTCAATTCTGTTTTTATGACGGCTCATTACTTCCAACACCGCTACCTTATTAAGCTCAGTTACCAAGTGAATCGCCGCCTGATTTTTCTCATTTAAAATGTCTGTCTTCACGCCCCTGTAAAAGAAACAATTTCGTAATATTACATCAATAAATACTATGCTCCAATAAATTACCAGAGTTTGGTATCCAAAACTGATTAAATCACAACGTAAATTTATAAAATTAGATCATATATCATTAGCTTGGATTTCAGTAAAGCCATATTGGTTAAAGCTATGTAAATACCCTTTAATCATGTACTATCATCCAATAGTAAATATAATTGACCATTCACTTGAACTTTGATTTACATAGCAAAAGATTGCATACAAATATATAATTAAAAAATATGGTACAGTACAAAAGCTTGTTAAAGCTGCCAGTAGCGGCTCCTGACTTTAGAAACAAGGTCGGCAAGGTTTTTTTTCTCCTCAGACAGCTATACCGTCTAATAAAAAGATTTATCAAAGGGGATTTTTGTTTTTTTGTTGTTAGTTTTTGTTTTCTTTTGTTTTTTCAATAAACTTAGAATCTAAACATGTTTATAAAGTAACTATAGTCTACATATATGAGGCTTTAAATTATTTTAAATTGGCATCGTATAGTTCTGCAGTAATTTTATCTGATTCATTATAGGTATTCAAAAACCGCAACTACCCTGTAGTACTTCTGATACATACATTTTTTTAATTAAAAAATGCTTATTGAAAATTAATAAATACACTCAAAAATACAATTGATGTCGATCAAAGCACATTCAAAACTTACATATAATGAACACGTAGACCAGTTAGCTAAAAACTCCATCATTTATGGAACACTAACCAACTCCCTGTTCTTACTTATGGTTCCCAAACGTGGACATTTACAAAAGCAAACATGAACAAAATCATAAAAACCCAAAGAGTAATGGAAAGACAAATTTTGCATATAAGACTAATGGATAAGAAGAGAAACGAGTGGATAAGAGAGAAAACAAAAGTGAGGGATGTTAGACAAGAAGTTGCAAAATTGAAATGGAGATTTGCCGGACACAATATAAGACAAAAAGAAGACCGATTGAACAAAATTCTTATAAGTTGGAGACCGTGGGAATATAAACGAAGCAGAGGAAGGCCCCAAATGAGATGGGCAGATGATATCAAGAAGCACGTGGGCTCTAGATGGATGACTGTAGCGACAGACAGAGAAGAATGGAAAATGATTGGAGAGACCTATTTCCAAAGATGGACCGAAGAGGGCTAATTAGATAGATAGATTAGAACCAACTATCAAACTTGCATTATAGATGCTTTTGCTTCTTCACGAACTAAACAAATGAACAACTGGAGAGAACACTGGGAAAAGTACTGTAGTATTTCAACAACACAATACAGTTTTATACAAATAATTATTCCAAAAAAACCTTGGTATAAGAATTTCGTCATCCCTCGCAAATACGTAACTATCATCAGTAGACTTAGATTTGGCCATGCATGTTATCCTACACATATATTTAAAATACATATCTTAGATTCGGATATTTATCAAGAATGTCAGATTAAAAGTGACTTAAACCACATATTTTTTGAATGTCAAAAGTATAAACAATTCACCAATAATCTAATTAAAAGACTGGTAGACAAGAACATCCCAATTCCTGTTAATATTCTCTTTCTACTATCACTCAATAAAAAGAAAATGATTGACTGCTTGATAACCTTTTTGTCTGATATTAAAGTATGCATGTAATTAGTTAGATTTGTAACCTATGTTTAGAAAAAATTCATGAAAAAAATATTAAAAAACAAAAATTTAAAAAAAAGATTAAAAAAAATATATAAAATAATGCTTAAAAAATAGATTTAAAAAGAAAAAAATTAAATAAAAAAAGAGGATTATAAAAAATATATTAAAAACATTATTAAAAAAAAGAACAAAAAAAAAGAAAAAAAAAATAAAAATATAGTAAAACAATCACTAAGAGGATCTAAACCTCCGAGGTGTAGAATAGGGTTTAGGTCCAAACGTAGTGAAAAAAAATATATTACCATAGTTATATTTATTAACATAGTAGTATATATTTTTATTTGTAAGATGTATACACTATGTATTTCACATGACGTTTTTCAATAACTAAACTATAACAAAGATGTGATATAGTATTTATTAACATAGTATGTACATTAGCTTAGTAAGGAATAATTATATTAGGATCTTAAAACTGTGACGATACGTGCTGCTATATTTCACCGAATTGTACAGTGGAGAATTATGAAAGTAAACTAGATAAGATTATGAATGAGGTAAGATTATTGGGAAAAGCGTGTGTAGTGCTGGGGGACTTCAACGCTAAAGCGGTGGAGTGAAGTTCTCCCAGAACGGACGCTCGCGGACAAATGCTTATGAAATAGATAGGAACTCTGGACTTAGTTATCTTAAATAATGGTCAGGAACCAACGTTCGTGAGGAGAAATTCGAATTCATATATCGATGTCACCTGTGCCACTCAGAATGTGGCGAGGAAAATTAGAGACTGGACCGTGCTACCGGATGACACTGCTACAAAACACCGCCGCATTGGCTTTTCGATAATCGGAATAGGAACTAAAAACGTGGAGTCATCAGCGTCATAAGAGGAAGGAATGCATTGCCTTTAGAAAACAGGTTTCGAGGGCAAGAGGTAGAGGAGAAGTAACCGAAGCTAGCAGAATGCATATGGTATACAATGCGCGAAAGAAGGAACTAAACAGGAAGGAAGATCAGAGCCGAGAAGAAGAGACAATGGAGAGAACTGTGTGACAAGTTAGATGATGACGTTTCGGGTCAGGGGTACAAAATCGTAATGAACCAATTCAAGCTGTACGCTCTGTATAAGATGCCACTAAACAGGAAGCTTGAGGTTACCCAAGAACTATTTTCACCCGACCATTGGCATGGAGTGCAGTGGGGCGCCGAAGCTGAGCGAGCTGTACCTTTTACCGTAGATAAACTCCACGAAGCGTTGAGTGCCCTAAAGACACGAAGTCTTCCAGGAGTTACGCGGGGTAGGAGTTAACCAGAGGTGGGCAAACCTACTGTTGGTTGACGTCCGGAATATTTTCAACACATTGAAATGGAAAGAGGTAATGAAGGTTCTAAGAGAGAGAAGGTGTCCTAGGTACTTTGGTCTTCGACTATTTGTTAGAGAGGAGAATTGTGGTAGAAAAAGGAGTAGTAGTTGACGTGACCGCTGGAGTGCCACAAGGGTCGGTCCCAGGACCCACGCTGTGGAACTTGGCATATGACGGGGTTGTAAGCCAACAATACGGAGAGGTGGTAACCCCATTCGCATTTGCGGACGACCTCGTTATGCTGATAGTGGTGCGGGACAGAAAGGACCGTATCTTTGGTGCACAGCGTACATGCAACCAAGTTGAGGAATGGATGAAAATGCATGAGCTAGAACTGGTTGCGGGTAAGACCGATGCTATAATTCTCTAGGGACCAAGGAAAAGGGACAGGATAACATTTGAATGTGCAGGAAAGAGAGTGGTTTCAAAGAAATGCGTGAGTTATTTAGGGGTGACACTGACTCAAAACGGTAAGTGGGGTAGCACGTAAAAGCGATGACTCTAAAAGCTGCGGTAAGATCCGCCACACTGGGAGGGATCATGCCCAACATCGGAGAGCCCAAAACTGAGAGGAGGTGGGCGCTTCATTCTGTTGTGCAATCGATCGTCCTTTACGCTGCGCCTGGCTGGAGTTCTGCGGTTTTAACAAAGGCGTACTGAAAACAGCTTACCTGAGCAGATAGGAAGAGTCTATTGAGAGTGTGCATACAGAACAGTCCCTGCCGAGGCGTTAGGAGTTATCACTAGGTGTATTCCGATGCACGTACTAGTGAAGGAAGGAGGAAAAATATACAAGAGAAGAAATGAAGACATAGCAATAGAACGTTTAAAAAAAGAAAAAAGGGAAAGTTCCATAATGGTGTGGCAAAAGGAATGGGATTAAATGAGAAGGGTGGCGCAGTGGACGAAGTTGTTGATTCCTAATTTCAGAAGATGGATGGATCCAACTGCTTTTCCTTTCTTTCTTTTTTCTTTTTCTGAACGTTGGCGATCATTCTGGCTATGATGACTTTGTTAGTTGTTATACGAAATAGCTGTGTTGAAGTCTTTCTATACCATGTTTTCAGGTTAGCACGCCAGGATATTCTTCATCGTCCTGGGGAATTTTTCCTTTAATTTTATTTTGCAAAATGCATTAGAGTAGCTCTGATTTGCCTTGATTTCCCATTATATGTCCCAAGTCCTGCAGCGTACGGCTCCTGTTGACCAAATCCGCGGTTGTGTTCATCCTCCGCAGTACTTCTTCATTGGTGACTTTGTCTATGGTATCTTCAAGATCCTTCTGTATAATTACCAGCTCAAAAGCCTGAAGTTTTGATAGAGTTTCCGCCTTTAATATCCATGTTTCTCCTCCACATAGAAGCACTGAGGTCATAACTCTTAAACACAGAGCTCATAGTCAAGAATGCACTTTTTGCTTTTTGGATTTAATATTTTGGATATTGTCTCATAACTCATTGATTATAGTTCCTAAGTAGTTGTACTGTGAGACACGTTCAATTTTCATTTAGTTTACATACAGATTTGCTCCTGGTTGATGGCTGGTTGTTCTGTTAATTAACTATATAATTGAAAATTATTATTTCTTACTATTTATTTTTATTATTTATTTTAAATATATTTTTATTAACTCCTACTAAAATAACCATGCTAAATAGGCCGTAGAAGAGGGTGACTTAAACTCAGATATCTAAACGTGGTGCAGGACGATTTAAGGAGTCTTGAAATAAGGGGATAGAGAGGACAGACCCTCGACAGGAAAGGATGGAAGGATGTTTTGAGGCAGGCCAGGGTTCACGAAGGCTGTAGCACCAACTGATAAAGATGATATTTTTATTTAGATTTAACTTGTGTTTTTCTGGGTCTGGTGTGTAATAATGTCTACCCATCAAAATATAGATTCTTTACATTTTATAATATTCTCAGACATAAATATATAAAATAAACTCAAAATAAAGAGACATTGTAGCGTTTTTTTATTTAAAGTGTATATAAAATATTTCTATGGTACGTCCCTGTTGTTTCTACCAAGAAATCGATCAATAAAGTTAAATGTAGGTACGTTGTAAATATTTCAAGTTTTTTTTGACGAGATTTTTAAATGCGTATTAACGTTGGAAATATGTTTTTATCTCTGTGTTGCAATGTAGGTGAAATAACAAGTTCTTTGTCGCCAAAGAGGTGTTATGTTACATGAATTCCCCTAATATTAAAGTTGTTTTTCGTTATTAGTCGAGGGTCAAAAAAAAAAACAATATTTGTTTGTTTAGGCAATAAAGGAACATTTAAAAGTTGGGTTTTTTTTTGTCGATACGAGCGAGGGGATATTGTTTTGGTTCTTGAGTTTGTGGGGACAGGTTAGCTGCAAGACGGAAGGGAAATTTTTGGTAGTTTCTTGTAAAATGTAACGGAGCAGGGAGTGGACATTTAAGTTCCAAGCAGGGCAGACGTGCTACAATGTAGAGTGGAAAGGTCGACTTTTAAGTTCCAAGCGGGGCAGACATGTGAGAATGGAGTAAAAGATTTGAAACGGAGTCGAGATTTAGATTCCAAGCGGGGCAGACATGTGATAAGAAGTCGAGATTTAGATTCCAAGCGGGGCAGACATGTGATAAAGGAGAGTCGAGATTTAAGTTCCAAACAGGGCAGACATGTGACAAAGGAGTCGAGATTTAGATTCCAAGCGGGGCAGACATGTGATAAGGAGTCGACATTTAAGTTCCAAGCGGGGCAGACATGTGAGAATGGAATCACTTGAGAGGAAGTGATGAAGAACTTCTCGAAGAAAAAAGTCGTTTAATTGTGATGTTGTAAGCCGGCATTCATTCGCCAAAATGGTGGAATTTTCACTCTAAGTAATATGTCGTTTCTGAAAGAGTGACCAGTAACCACTGTTTTTATTTTGGCTGAAGATTTATGATGTTTGAGCAGTGAACAAGTTTAGTTCCTGTTTGTTTTTCGTTTTTTTGAGAAATCCAGTTCCTTCCCGAGATGCCCTTTTCACCTCATGTAGAATAATATTGGAGCAGTTTTGATTTGGATGTGCCAGTTTCAGCTTCCAATAAAGCTTTCCGTTGATGTGCAGTTAGATACCCCGCAGAAATTAGCCAGTTGTTCAAAAGTTTAAGTTAACATGAACTGAGGTAACATTTGCGTTATTAATTTTTAAAGTAAAAATAGACATTTTCTTTTAAAAAGACAAAATTTGCTTTCTTTTATAAATTATTTTTTAAATTATTTACTAAGAACCGTTTCGAAGAGTTTTGTAACCTTTTGTAAACAGATATGTAAGTTTTTTTTCATTTGTATTTGACAGCTAATTTTATTTAATATGCCTTTGTATAAGCTGTATTTTTGAAAACTGTTTGGTGAGACAAAAATAAATGTTTAATTTGTTTCTCTGATCTATTTTGAGTTTTATTTGAAAAAGATATTTTTTTTCTATAATTTTGATGTTATACAATTATTTCCCTAGTTACAACTAGTGGTTGTAATAGGTATAATTGGGCACCTCAAGTGGCGCCCTATATTAAATTTCTTGAGGTGTTTCCGTTTATTTTCATTCTGTTTGTCCCAAGAGATTTGTATAAGTACCCCTTTATTTCTTTTTTTTGTAGTTGCCCCAATCTAACCCCCCAATATCTTCAACTTATCCACGACCCAGCTCTCCAACAACCAACTGAGTGTCCGTATGCACTTGTTTCGATTATTTTGTTTGCCCAATCTTGTCCCCCATATTCTTACCCTGTGGTAAGCAAAATAGTCGTTACAACATAGAAATTTTGCGAGACGGATATTGATCCTCTTAAACTACTATATAGTTACCTTTATTTTATCCTAAACGAAAATACATACAAATGCAATCAGACTGTCAAATTAAGGATAATTACTTACTTGTCTAAAAGAAAGTCCACTGCATCCAAAGCCTCATGTTCTACGGCTACATGTAAAGGAGTATTCCTGGCATTGTCTAGTATGTTTAAATCTAGAAAAGAAAATAAGGTTATGTGCAGATATTGTACTGAAAAGTAAGCTGCAAAAACTTCTTATATACAGGGTTTCTACAATTTTCATTTTTTGTCTCTAGCTAAGATCACGTTGAATAAATTTATGTGGTGGACACCGTATTTCCGGTTTTAGATATGTAGCAGTTAGTAACCATCCTTTAAAATAAGACGGCTTTGATTGTTAAAGGAACTTTTTAATAATTATTTCGAAGTGATCTGGTGGGTGCTTTAATTTATTTTACATTTGCAAGGAATATCTTGCACGTAATAAAAATAATATCATAAGAAATCAGGTCTATTATATAATTATTACCGATAGATACATAAATTCCACCAAAATAACTAAAAAATAGGCATTAAAATCAACCAAATTGTTCCAAGAATTTTTTGGTTAGACGCGTCCCTGAACCTACAGGAGGCGCACAAAATAAAAAAGATTATGATAAGAATAAATTCATTTAGCCCTAGGCAAGGCTGCGGTCTAGTACAATTGTACTATTTCTGGTACATGAGTACAAAAGTACATTTTGTAAATTATCCACCCATAAAAAATACCTCTCCGGAGCGCAACAAACAAAGATGAGAAAAGAGGCAAAAATGGCTGCTGGTTCCCCTCGCAACACATTTTCTAAAAAACCAAGGGGCTCTAACCCTAACAACTAATCCCCATAACCTAATACTCAAACTAGATCGGGCTCAAGTAGACCTGATCAATAACAAACTGGACAAGCAGTTGATGATGCTTTTATCGGAGGTCATAATGAACTTCTACAGTTCCATAAAACATCGTCTAGCCAAGGACCCTGTGGGTGAACTGTGTTAATGAGTATACAAAAAATGGACTACTTAAATTCTGAGGACAATCTGGGTGGGAGCAAACTTAAATATAGTTGATCTCAATAATATGCCCAAGCCTCCCATGATCCTCACCCACGTCCACGAGAAAGAATCTGATAAAGAAATCATCAGGATCTGTCTAAAGAGGCATAATCAAGACCTTAAGATAGAAGACTGGTTGTTTAAAAATTAAAAGATCGGGAAGGACTCGCAAAATCTTGTCTATACAATTGATGAAGTCTCGTGTAAAGTATTGAGGGCTGCTCATTCCAAGGAATATGATAAACTTGAAAAGGTATCCTTTAAAACAATCAGAGACCTCAACGGCTTCAATCAGAATCCTATAAGCGAATTTCGAGGATAGTAAGACAGCTTCGGCAGAACTTATTGTTGTCATGAGAAGGTTTAATGTAGCTGTGATACAAGAGCTCTGGGTTTGCAAGGACAAAATAACAGGTCTATCGTGGAGAGCTTATAAATGACCGATCTGCCAAAGTCCCAAGGACCTATCTGATCTACTAGGGCACTATAAGAATTAATGAAAGTGGTGAGCATTACTACAGTTTGTTATGGAACATCACTTGGACATACTAAACGTAGAAAGCAAATCAACTTTGGTAACTTCACAAAAAAAAGAGACAATTAACAACAATGGCCGTAACTAACATGGCTGGAATTGTAAAAATAACATGTTTTAGACAAAGTGTGTAGTTAAGACCATCGACACATCTGTTTTGAAATAACAGGCAATGAGCCAATTAATAAAAACTGAACGTAATCCTCGTAAAACAAACTGGGATATGAAGCAGACCTGGTATAGTGTTTAGGTGGGATTAAAGGGATGATAAGGCATACATTGGACCTAGACATGAACAGTTTTATGAACTTGTCGTGTCAGTATTTGAAGATAAAGGTCCGGAGATATTAAGGAATTTCAACAAGAAAGTACCCTGATAGAATGACACTCTTGCAAAACAAAAGTCAGACGAAAATTTAATTTCTCCAAAAGATCAGGTGAGAGGGACGTATTCTTAATTCATAGTTAGAAAATTTTATTTGCATGTAATAAAGAATTAAATACTTTTATTATTGAAATTTTCATCCCCTATTAAGTTTTAAAATTAAAAATTGAACAATTTAATATATTCAAAATTAAGATTTTATTTTGAAAAAAAACAAAATACCAGTTTGCAAATAAATGGCATCGAAATTGTATTGAGCATATATTATAATATATCTGTTTTATTTCAAATTTCCCGCCTTTTCCAATACTATTCCACATTAATTTATTCATTGGGTACAATCTAGTACATTTTATAAATAATTCTAGTACATTCCTAAATGTTTTGACGGCAGCACTGCCGGCTAGAAGTCATTGAATGTCAAGAAAGTCCTGTTACATTTTATAGAGTCGGTAAACCAAATCAAAATAAACGTTATCCCCGCATGATATAAGTGATAATGAGTTATGAACACCACACTCAAAAAATTCTTCGTAAAAAAAAATAAAATTTTGGAAAAAACATCTACTGAAACTTTTTCTGTTATTGATAACAAGACACCTATGCAGCAACTTCGTTTAAATGAACTTCGTACTGAGCTTGAAACTCGTAAAAATAATGGAGAAAATGACCTTACGATTAAATATGTGAATGGCTGTTCAAAGATAATGAAATTTCGTTTATTATTCTTCTGCACTAAAATTTACGGATTGGCTTCTTATGTATATAAATCTTAACTCTCTTATGTCCAAATTTATTGAATTTATAAGTACTGTTCAGCTTTTAAAACCTCACATTATTCTTCTAACAGAAACGTGGCTTAATTCTTCTATCCCCGATGCTATTGTAAACTACTTTTACTATATTTCGTAGAGATATAGGTTCTCATCAAGGGGAAGGAGTATTCATCTACTTAGCAAATGCAATTACAACAGTTTTTTTATCAGTAACAAAACAATACACGTACCCGGTATAGAAGTTATCTACTTACTGATTACTAATAACTCTTTTATGTTTAATATAGTTTGCATATACCGACCTCCCTACAGTACTTACTTTGGACAATATGCTTATTAACAAACTTGAGGAATTATCATCCCTTGAAAATCTCAATGTTGTTGGAGATTTCAATTTTCCAGAAATAAGCTGGCCCAATATTTCCAAAATTGATACTATCAATTCCCAAAATTTATTTAAAAACTTTATCATGAACTCAAATTTATTACAACTAATAACTGAACCTACAAGGTTTAGAGCCAACAATAAGTCTTCAATTTTGGACTTATTTTTTCCAAATGACGAGTAATTAATTTCTACAATTGAAGTGTCCTCTCCTGTGGGTCTTTCTGACCACTCGCTTATTACTGCTCACATTCAATTTAGTTTAACACCGCCTTGCAAAATATTTTCGTAATATATGCTACTACTGATTTCTTTAGTGTAAATTCAGTTTTATCCTAGATAAATTGGCAATCTATTTTTCTTAATCACTCTGATCCATCGTCAATGTGGGACTTGTTCCTTCATACTGCTATTACAACAATTTCTGATCATACAACCGAATGGCAGCTATAGCTATGCTATAGCTATAGCATAAAGCATACAGAGTCGTTATTCAAGAATCTTTTTGGTTCATCTTTCATCCGTCAATTTGGCAACATATTCGGCCCAAACCCATTGAGCTATTGCTATTATTTTTTGTTTTTTTTATCAGAGTTAGTGTTTCTACACTATATGTATATAACGACTCTTAAAACACATTGGTTCAAAATTTCGATCAAGCTATCAAAGTTCATAATAAAGTGTGTGTTTTGATCTATAAATAATATATTACTGGACATTATTAGTAAGTAAATAAAAGAGAAATGAAATGAAAACAAGTAAAAATAACTAATCTCGAGTTACAAATAAAAATTTTTTGAGTAACAAGGTCCTTTACATTGCATTAAAAAGTATATAGCAAACTTTCTTAATCAGATGAATCTAAAAAGACTTAAAGTTCAATTTCTTACACATCAGTAGGCCCGTGTAATACATTTTATTTCATGAAAATCTCAATCATCACGCTCGAAACTTTATTTTTTGAAGAGGTAAACTTCTCTTTTTGACCATGAAAGTTGATTTGTACCTCTTTACCTTTGTGCTTAATATTTTTTCTGAAGTTTTCTTTTCAAAGGATTTGAGATATTAAATTATTTTGTTGAAGCTTTGAAGGTTTACTTAATATTAGAGTTTCTGGATATTCTCTACGTGGTGTATAAAATATATTAATATAATGAAAACTAAGCCATGAATTGAACTGATATTTTAACTATTTTTGAATTATCTTATATTGTTTGAAACTGAGTAATCTAGAGAAAAAACTTGCAAACATATTATATAATATTAATACGTCTTTCATTCTTTCATTCTTTAAATTTCTTTATTTCCCTATCTCTGTGTAGTTTTGCCCTGTTTCTTTTTGACAAAGCATTCCTCCATTCTTCCTCGAACTAGTCCTGCCGTTTTTTTATATAATCTCTTCTTATACACTTTTCCACTGCTTCTGACATGGCTGTCTGTATGGCCTGCCATTCTTCTTCTATATCCTGTTTGACTGGATTCTTTAGCTTTTTTATTTATTTCGTGCTCTAGTCTGTTTACTACCTGCTTCTCTTGAAGGTGCTCTAATTTATATTTAAACTATTTCTAACATGTCACCAATGATTATCTTTATATCATATTTCTGTATATTTCCTATTAGGGTGCTGAGTTTCTGTAAAACTCTGTTTAGGTTTCTGAATCTTTATTTTTAGTGGTCGCATGTACATCAATGATACTTGTATTCCTGTACTTTCCTCTTACTCTTACGTAGTAACATATCTGGTCTGATATTGGTTGAAAATCTACAACTGCTTTGTTTACTTTCTCTGACACCATGAATCCCACTTCAAAATATCTCTTAGTCCCCCCACTCTTGAACAGTGTGCTCTTTCTTTTTTGTTTTATTTTGAATATTTCATTTCCCAGTTGTTTCTTTTCTTGCTGAACAAGGATATCTATTGTGTATTTATCCATAATTTTGTCTAAGTTTCCTACAGCTCCCTGCTCATAAATACCTTTCATATTTCATGTTCCAATTTTTTATTATTTCCTTGGAT